CCCCCCCCCATATATAGATGCAGCTAAATTACAAAATAATTTTTTTAACATTTGCAAATATAAAGCATGAGATGAAAATTGAAATGAACATCACAAAGCGAACACAAAAAGTAACAAATTTTTCCCCCTGACAAATATTGCAAAACTGTGCTTCTGTAACTGCAAAACAAACCAACAAAACCAAACCCCCTGCAAAAACAACAACAACAACCCAGTTCAACTTAAAAAAGAGGTAGCTTTCAAGATAATATGACCCAGTCTCCATCAGGTGGGCCATTAAAACAAAACACCCATTTTGGTAAGAATAATGCACGATAGAAACCAAAGTGATAAGGCCGACATGGAAACCTGGAGCCCGTGGGTCTATTGTGCCGTTGTGGTTGTGCTGCGGCACTTCGTGCGAATGCAAACACTCTCTCTGTCCAGCAGCCTGGCAATGTGGCCTTTCCAGCAATCCCCCCTCCCCATCCCTCCCAAAAGCCAATGCAAACAAGCTCATGAGGTCACAAGAAACCGAGGTAATTTCAAGTACAATGTGCTAAATGCAAAAAAATAAAAATAAAAATAAAAATCATTAAACATAAAATAAAACTAAGAAAGCGAAGCCAAAGGAAGGGCATCTTTTATCGTTCGGCTGCTTTTCACAGAAACAAGAGTTCTGGGCAGAAGGTTTGAGTAGGCAGCTGCTATAGGGAAGAATGGAGGAAGCAGAGGGAAGAGGAGAGTTAGCCTCTTACTAATAGGTTGGGCCCCACATGAATGGTGGATGGGCAAGAAAGCAGCAAAGAGTGTTGCTAGTGAGGAGTGAGCTGGAAAGGAAACAAGTCAGAAAGGCAGAGAGATGGGGAGAGCGGAGAGACATCAGCCTAGGACTTAGCACTTGTGTCCATAATGGAAAGTTCACCCCTTTCCACTACTTATGCGTATGTACAGAAGGAAAAGCCATCAGTGGGTCTCAAACTTTGGTTAGGCCATGCCTCAGAGATGCTAGTGACAACCAGTGGCTCCATGGTTAGTGAGATGGTTGACTCTGCTCCAGGTTTTCATCAAAACTTAGAGTCAAGGTTCTACTGGACACAGCTAGTCTCCAGTGCAAAATCTGCTGTTCTTTGCCCCTGGCTGTGCAATGTAAACTGGATGATAGCAAGGTATACCACCATGGCTAACTGGTGGCTCTTTGGGTCAAAGGTGGTGGTGTAATTGGGACCTTGCCCACTACCATCTGACTGCTCTTCCACAGCCAGGGGGATGGATTTGCACAAGGAGATACTGGATACCTGCTTTCACAATGCCAGAGAAAGTTCTCATGGCTTCACTAGTGCTCCCACCAGTGTGAAGTCTCTAAGAGGATTCTGGCCAAGGTGAGCTCTCCATGGTGCTGAACTCTATCTCCCAAACAGAGTCATAATTCGGATAGCTTCTTTGACTCTCAGAGCCACCAGCTGCCCCTCTATGTGATGAAGAGAAATCTAGGCATAAACAACAGTTCTTGGATGGAAACAGAAGGGTAACTACCAGAAGACACACCTATGTATGCATGCACACGCACAAGCTGTCTCTAGGCTACTTACACTCATCTTCCTTCTTTTCCTGCAAAAAGGTCACAGGAGGCCAGCCTGGGGCATTCAGTTGTTGGCATGATCCACTAGCAGGCCCAGCCATCTAATACATGGTAGGAGAGTCACCTGCTGACCTCAAAAGTGCACTGGAAAGATCACACCTGTGCTAGTGGTATCAGAATGCACA